ATCAAGTGGAGGTCCTGCATCTCAGCCAGAAACCTCCTGGAGCGGTCCGTCCCGGCTGACTGCTCCTCCCAGCAGATGTCTGGGTAATTAAAATCGCCCATGACCACTACATCCCTTGATTTTAGTGCCTCTGCAAGCTGACCTGAAAATTCCCTGTCCAGCTCCTCCTCTTGGTTGGGGGGTCTGTAATAGACCCCCACTGTCAAATCCCTCTCCCCCTGCCCCCCCTGAATCTTGACCCAGAGCACTTCAGCTTGCCCTTCCTCTGACCCCATTCTGCTGGCAGAATGTGTTCAGACAGCGCAGATGAGGGAAGGCGCTTTAGTTGAATGTTGAGGGACCAAGAACTGTCCCATCAAGAGCCTGGACTAGGAGACAGAGTGGGAGGAGAATAAGGGAGATGGGAAACTAGACTGATGAGGCAAGGAAGCTGGGACTAGGAACTAGTCTCAGGGGAGATGGGGCATTTGGAGATAGATCTGACAAGCACCTGAGATGTAAGGAAAGAGCTGGGATTGGAACAGCAAAGAGACTGAAATAAGCAGCCAGGGAGAAGGAGGAGGTGGAGGAAGGGAGACAGTGTGGAGGCTAAAAATGGGAACTGAAGCAGGGAATGATTGGAGGCTGGTGGGTGACAGGAATGGCTGGATAAGGACATGAGAAGAGAGTAGTTTGAGGAGGGAGACACGAGAGGAGGATATTAGTATTTAGAAAGGGATTCCAGAAGGAAGGACAAGGAGACCAAGACTCTCTCGTAGAACCAGATCCACTGCACAGGAGGCTCCCAGCAGGTGGATGAGCCCTGTGCCCAGGGCTTGGGCAGATAGATGCCATGGCAGGTGGGGGTGCCCAGCAGCACCCAGCAGCCTACACAGCTCCATGGGAATGGGGCGAACCCACCATACCTGCAAGGGGATGTCACCTGGCTGGGGCAGGATGCAGAGCTCGGGGGCTTCTGGCTCCAGACTCAGCCTCCCTGCATGCTGGGCACAGTGCACGTAGGGTGGAGCCATCTCCGGTACAAGGGCCTGGCCATAAGAGCTCTCATAAACAGCCGCCACAGCTGCGGTGGCTTGCTCAGGCACTGGCCTTGCCCACCTGCAGCTCCCTTCAAGGGCCTGGGCCAGGGCAGGTGCTGTGCAGGGTCACTGTGCTGCAGGCTCCCAGCTGGCTTGGCCCTGAACACCACCTGTGATGGCTGTTCCCAGAGCCTGGAGGGCTCCTGCTGCAACTGGGGCGGGGGGAGGGGCTTTGCCCTGCTTGCAATGTTCCCAGCATGCACAGAGGATAAGCTGGGAGCCCCCCAAGCCCAGCATCCCTCCACGGCCAGGCAGCATTCCCTCATGGGCCGGGCTGCTGCGCCCCATCTCCACAGAGCTCCCTGTACAATTTTAATTGTTTCCCTTTATGCTATTTTTTCACAGGACCCTTATTTCATTCTTCTGCAGTAGATAGATATGTGGTGGGAATGAATCAAGGTTATGCAGTAAAGGAGAATATTTTCTGTAGGGTCCTTTTTCTTGTGTTGCAAATGTTGGAATGTGTGGGATGATTGAGACCAGAGAGTAGCAGAAAGGAAGAGGATGATCTCCTGGTCAAGGCAGTTGAATGCAGCTCTGGAGAACTGGTATTCCTATATGATGCTGGGCAGATGCCTTAACTTATACTTTTATAACATGGTCACTTTTTGCTTGTTTCATATTTTCTGCATGTCCAGCTTGAGAGAGTAGGGCTTTATTTGCTGACAGGTGGAGCACTCACTTCAGATACAACTGAAGTCAATGGGAACTGTGTTTTGAACATATCACGTGTTGTTTGAGTATCTGAAATGGGACTCCCAAAATTAGTAGATTCATTTGAACTTAATCTCTCTGTTCCTTCTCTTCCTCTGTGTAAAACTGAAATAATGCTACCTCCTCATCTCAGAGGCACTGTGAAGACAAATTCATCAAATTTTATGAAGTACTCAGGTATTACTGTGAAGAATGCCATAGAAATGAGGAATTTTACAATTCTGTCTTCAGGTCAGGGTTTGAACAATGTGTAGTCTATAAGACATAGGGCCACCACCACCCACTAAAAATATGGAAAAAGAAACTAGCACAGAGCAACTCATTAACCGAGCAGTTTATTTTGCACATTGAATGAGGGAGAGGCTCTGTCGGAAAATGTATGCAATTATACCAGTACTTTTAGCATAATTGATTTAATGTGCAAGGCACAGAAAGGCTAGAGGTCAACACAAAAATAAGTTTGCCTGACTTTTAGACAAATATGTTTAGTAGAAACATTTAAAAAGCTCTAAATCTTGTGAAGCTGATCTGTTAGCTGATCTACCCAAGAGAGTTTGCTGGTTACTTTCATGTTTCTGAATCCCATAGACTGATGTGATGGATTTAATATGCCCTTGGGGTCTGACCCTGTGCCTATTGAAGGCAATTGTAAAGATCTCAGAGATTTCAGTCATGCAGATTCAGCTCATGTAAAGCTAGAGAAAGGTCTGATACAATAGTGCCTAATGCTCTATGTTCCATAATTTGCAAGGCATCTGCCTGATTGTTAGATTAGCAGGAAGTGTGGATCAGATGGTAAATTATGTAGCGGAAGCTCATTGTTCATCAGCTAGGGAAAACATCTGGTATGAGCTACTGCTTCTACCTGGGCAAACTGCAGTGCTCTTTGTTTATCATTAACAACTCTAAGACGGTGTTTAAGACTAAGATAAACTTGCTTGGGCATATGCTTATGTTCATTTAAACAGCTTTTGTATGGAGAGTACGATGAATGTTTAGGGCCCACATGATACTGAATGTTCTTTATGTTCTTACCCCTTTTAAAAATAAATAATTAACTAAAGACTGTAGGGGGGTTAGAGAGCTGTAATAGCTTTAATGGCCCAGAAAGTGTAGGAGAGGTGAGGGTTTTTTATGATGACTTTTATTGAACCAACTGCATAGCTGGGAAAGGTGTTAGACAAGATTTTGGGCATATACTACCTTACCTTAGCTCTCCAGTTCATGTCTAACCACTAAGGTAGTGTATGCCCAAAAGTTTGTCAAACACTTCTCCCAGCTATGCAGTTGGTTCAATAAAAGATACCTAAACTAAAGACTGAAGTGTATTGTGTCATAACTAAAGACTGAAGTTTATTGAGTTGTTGTGGTTAGGAGGAGAAATTTATATTGGAGTCAGGTATTTCTTTGAAGCAATTGTGTTTATAAAGAAAGCATAAGGTTCTGTTTCCTTAAACAAGGAAGAATCAAACATCTGTAGGCACTTTTGTTTGTTCACTGCTCCAAGCCTCTTTCAGGCCTAAAAGCCCTCTGTGGGCTTTTTTCAGGGCCATATGCTTAGTACATCTGTGCCTGTGTCCTTGGCTTTCAGCTGCTTATTTTCTCCTTTCCTTCCTTCAGTATTTCCAGAAAGAGGTCTCTGGAGTTTCCCAGTCAAACTCTCCCTACACCCACA